AAGGCATGATAATGTCAAGTGCCATGTGCAATTATAGACATCATTCGACTGTAAACAGCTTACTGTTGCAGAGTTACTGAATTTAAGAATTTTTTTTATATAATAATCATACTAAAATTATTTTCTTTTGTTTAACGTAACATAAAACACCAGTTGTCTCAATAATGACTGCTTATGACCTTCCTCTAACTTTGGCAGATCAGACTGGAATTTTTACCACAGATACTTGAAAGTATTCTCCAGAGAAAAAACTGGCCGTTTTCGGTTTTGACCTTCCTATCTAGATGTATAGAGCTCTGAAAGTCAACACTCCAGGTTTGGCTCCGAATCTTTACGTATTTTTCTTATAATAAGGAAAGAAAACTAGATTTTCCAAAATACTCAAAAATGCCTTTGAGATATAGTCTGAGGTATCTCAAAACAAATTTTTACCAGGATCGAATAAAATTTGATGCAGATCGTAATGTACCAGAATACGATCGTATGAAAAGCCAAGGTTTTCTCAACAAAATCACGAAAACCTTCTTGGAGTTTTTTTTCCGAACATGTATCTCCTTGTTCCAAGTATTCTATCTGTGATAGAAATTTCAATCTGATCCTTTGTATCCTCTTCGAGAATGAGATATGGTCTAAAAAGAGAGTGAATACCCTTAATGAACATTGTTTTTCTTCACTCTATATCAGTTATCCGATAATGAGTATTGTTTTTGTGTTATAAATTTTAAGTCAACATTTTATAGCTATAAAATTGCAATTTGAATTAAAATCCAAGCTAAATTCACAGAGATTTAATATTGAGTGTATGATTCATTAACTAGTTGGTCATAGAAGAACAAAATATTAGTACAATGAGAATTTATTTTTCTCAGGTTCATTTCAGCCTTCTATTCTCGATCCACTTTCTTTTTCTTGAATAGATTCTAGGTTTATGTAAATCGACGTCTTATGTATTCTGATTTTGAGAGTAGATTTTAACAAATAAGTTAACTCAGGACGTGAATGTGGGTGCCAATAGAATATTGACTGTTCCACGATAAACAGGCGTTTATTTCTATTTTGTCAGAACGTCATCGGATGGATCATCTCTATAATATTTGGTATTATATCATATTTCGCATAGTTTCAATAATGAGAGAAGATGAGTATAACATTGACACCAGTCTAATACAATAACCTTTATTTACTTGTGCACATTAAACCATCAATAGAATTAACAGTATATAATCATCATGAATTCCAATCAAAGAGAAAAAATTATATATGTCCATGATATACTCATCTTCTCTCATTATTGAAACTATTCAAAATATGATATAATACAAAATATTATTGAGATGAACAACCCGATGATGTTCTGACAAAACAGAAACAAAGGTCTGTTTGTCGTGGAACGGTCAATATTCTATTCGAACTATCATTACTTTCTCGTAAAGTAACAGCATAGTTTCTAACTTTGTTTCGATTCTTTTCCTCGAAAATTGAATCGTTACGAGCACCATCTGACGATCCTGGTTACACAGATGAAATGTTATAACATCATGGTTTGCACACTTACAGTTCGTTTCAAAGTTAAAGTATGCTAAAAAAAAGAATGTTTTCAGCGTCTATAACTAGAATGATGTAGACATATATCTCTCGAAGTCTATTACTCAAAATTATCTGACATTGATTTAAATTACAGTAGCACAAAGAAAAAAAGCAATTAATTCATTTCTTTTTCAATTACCAGATGTAAAGGTTTCCAAGATTATTTTTTGACTTTTTTTTTCAAACAAAAAGAAATTTTTACAAAGAACAAAGTGAAAATTAACATGCGACATATGATTTATTTATTTCTGCATATGAAAATATTCTATAAGTGTAATCATAAAAGAGTTTATGTATGATAGTTTTATCGCCTAATTTAAGATATTCGATACATTTGTTTAATATACATTGTCGTTCAACATATGGATAAACAGATTTAAGTTTGGAACATTCAATAGAAAAAATTTTATCTGCCAATAATTTTTCATATTTATGAGAATATCGAAAAACATAGCAGCCCGTTTCAATATATCTCATTCTGCGTGATTCAAAATGAGCCATTGGTTCTCGAGGTGCATATAACCATAATGATCCTAATGGTCGAAGTACTAAAGGAAATACATCTTCAAGACGAACAGGACAACTACTTGGACGTCCTAATAACCAAACATGTGTTGAATTTCCATCATGGTAAAATATATCGATAAAAGGAAAACGCCATGGTGTTGTACCAGCATGTGGACACCAGCTGAAAAATACCTTATCATAATTACGTTTATTAGGTAATTGCATTATAATAATTGAATAGGGTTCGGATGAAAGTTCTCTAATAATATTTGATTGTAAACGATAACGATCCGCAACTGAAACACTTAAATCAACATCATCATCCCATGGTAATATATCATGACGTGTATAACTACCTGAAATATAACAGAACTATTCAATTATGATCTTTTTTTAATTGTATTTACCGAGTAGTGTACCAGCCATCATCATGTATTGAATATTATATTTTTTAAAAACTTTTTCAATAAGTATTGACAAAAGATGCATATAAAGAGCATGTTCACATGGAGTAAGTGCACGAGGTATAAGCGAACTTGAACGCCATTGAGAATATGAATATGGAATAGATTCATCTTTAGAATTAAGTCGAATAGGAATATTTGATGTTTGTTCAGTATTGATACGTTGATATACTTGACGACAAAATCGTTCGTATCGGGTTTCATTGAGAGTATTCGAAAATATGTATTTATACGAAACGAAAGATTGATTATAAACGATAAATAAAAATGGATAAACAGTGAACAGAATAATAAAAATGAAAAATAGATATTGATTTGATCGTATAAAGCGGCTAAAACGTATCATCATTAATTCTCTCACAGTCTCTTTGAATCTTCTACAGGTGTATCATTAAGTAAGAATGACAAGCAACAGCTTGTGTGTTTTCAACTGTTCTACAATAATACGAATTGAATATAAAACGAGACAATGCATTAAAACAAAGGACAAACTCACGATGTCTATAAAAGTTCTATATTAAAGGATCTTTATTAAACTACCTTTATTTGTCTAATGTTTATTTTCACTGCATAACACTCATCACGATGCATATACTTTGTGAGTTCTCTTAGCAAATGGGTACAACTGATACTACTTTTTCTGTTGATATATTCAGATATTATTAATGCATTTGTTTTCACTACTGATTTTAATATATTTATATGACGTAGTAGCAAATGGAACAATATATCATACTCGGTATATATTTTTCTCAAAGACAATTGCACCATATTGAAAGTATTTTACGCAATTCAATAAGAAAGAATAGAAACTATGATTAAAACTTAAGCAAATAGTTTCTCCTAGCATGTATGGAATAGTTTTTTCTTTTTTACTTTAGATAAGAACTACGTGTTTAATGGTAGTTAAAGTCGTATCATTTCAATTATTTAATTATAAATCATGAATATAGTTGTATACATTAATAGGATATTATGTAAATAATAACAAGTTTCAAGGATTTCATTCTATGAAATTAATCTTTTAGAACAAAATAATATTGATATGTGAATAAAATGTTTTTAGTAAATTAATGATTGATATCAAATTGAATTAATAAATGTTAGATTAACTAAAACAAAAATCGTTAACTTTCATGAAATCAATCAATTAGATATCTTCAATTATTTAATAATAATATGACAAAAAAAAACCGAACTTTCTAAAAGTGTTATTTTCAATAAAAAATAGTTTAACATTTAAGAAATATTGTTTTTTTTATAGATAGTATTGTGTTCTATTTAAATCAATTATATTTATATTTTCGTGCCATTTTGCAAATAACGAAAGATAATAACATTTACAGTCTTTACTCTTTTCAATTAATATCAAAGTTTATTCTCTAAAATTTCTTCTACTATACATTGAAGTAAACAATTATTCCAATAAATGGAATTATCAATACGTTCAATAGAAATACTGTATGATGTATAGAATCATTTACAAACGAAAAATGAAATTCTAAAAAGTTCTACACTCTTCACACAAGAAATTTTCATTATAATGTCTACTTATTATTGACAATTCAAAGTAACATGTATAAAGAAAAATAAAAATTCTATCTATATCATTTTATCAGTATATTATCTTTCATATTTTTACATTAAAAAAAACAAATGAATCATTTTAATGGTCTGTTGTGAAAGAGCAGAAGCAAAAAAAAACCAAGAAGAAATTAATGAAACTCTTGAACACTTTCTTCATAGAATAACCGATTTTTACTTATCAAAATCTTCTTAGCATCGTTTTGATCTTTTCTTTTTTTCTTCTTCTTCTTCTTCTTGACATTGGGTGTAGTATAATAAAAGATACATTTCTTTCATATTTTATTGATTTATTGCAATAAAAAAAAGACAATTTATGATGATAAAGCTTGTAAACATATGCACTTAAACTTTTATTCCTAAATGACATTCTTTTGATCGTGAATGATACGATATATAAATATGTGATCAATTATTCTTGTTAGTTGTTTTTTTTTTCTCGAGGCATCGAATACATTTTTTTTCCATTTTTTAAATTAGCACGTACATACACTTTCATAATATAACTTTGATAAAAAAGAGATATGATTATATGATTGTTTCTTGAATAAGAAAAGCAAAAAATATTCATCATTTTTAATGATGACGAATATTAGTAAATTTCATTTTATCGTTTCTTTGATTTATTCAATTTTTTTTTCTTGCTGCGACGAGAATACATTGTCTAATTACAGGCGTTTATATGAAAATATAAAGTCATGCACGAATGATTCTCGCGTCATTTTTGTCTTAGATTGTCGTCACGAAAGGTATACAAATATACAATCATACATATTTTGTCTCGTCTTTTGAAGAGTGTGATAGTTTATCACAAGGAAAAATCTGGTTTGTGATATTATTTTGAATGAATTAAAACCAATGGCGATCAATGATGAAGTTTTAAATGTGCCAAAAATCTTGGATGTACTTTCAAATGAAGAAGAATTCATTTTTAAACCATTTCAACATAGTAAGATTTTATAATTATATAAAATCATTGATATTCTCTATTTTTATAATTAAAGCAATTGCAAATGATATTGGTGCAATAGAATGCGGAAAAATCGTGTCAAGAATAAATAAAGTTCTATTTGATTATCAAATTGGTAAAATAAAAAAAAAACAAAACAAATCTTTGATTTCAATCAAAAAATTCAATTTCTATCTATAGGTGATAAAACAAATCCATCTTTAATAGATTCCATATTTACTCAAAGAATTATTTTAACCATACCTGGAACTAAACAAGTAACTTTATATTTTGTTTTGTTCATTTTATTAAAAAAAAAAACATTTTTTATTTTGTGGGTCGTTCTTGAGCTCTATGAAAATCGTTTACCTCTTTTGTGTCAAATGTGTAGTCGACAAGAAGTTCAATGTTTACCAACAATAGCAGGTGAAAGTCAATCAATTGGCTCTATTCGACGAGGGTATGTTTTTAAAAAAAAATCTACTTTATTAATAGAAAAGAAAAAGGAAGGGGAAAAAGAATTTTCTTAAATTGTTATTTGTGATGAATGTTGTAATTTAGCTAAATTTTTAAGATATAATTGTAATAAATGATAAGTTGATTCAGCTACTGAAACAATATCTTTATCAGCATAAAATGTAAAACCATTTAATTCATCTTGACGCATATCAAATGCATCAGTACTTGGTGGAAGTTCAATTGAAAATGTATGTGGAATTTGTGCTATAGCTTTAGCCCAATCTTCACTTGTACCTGTTGCTGTATAAAGTACTGTTGATGATTGACCAATTTTAAATGTATTTTGACTTAAACGATTCATTTGTAAAAGTAAACGTTCAGCACGATGATAATCATATGGACGAATACGTGTTGAAAATGAAAATGGTAACATCCAAAAATTACCAAATGCATGTAATGTTATAAATATATGAAAATACGGTCGACGTTTTAATATAAATGATGTTATTGATCGAACTTCTGGTTCAGATTCAGGATATGGTCCACGATATGTTTCTTCACTAAATTTAAATAAAAAAACAAAAACAATATAAAATAAATTTTTTTACAAAAGATTAATATTAATACCATGGAAATTTCGATGCTCCTCGATTATCCCATGCAAATGGAAAATTTCGATTTAAATCAACACCTGGACAATCATTATGCGGTCGTCGATTTTTTCTCCACATTCGTTGTTGATCATGTTGTTCTTGTGTATCCCATACGGTCTTTATATCATCATGTGTATATGCATAACCATCAGGATTAACAACAGGCATAAAATAAAAATCATATTTATCAATTAATTTTCTTACATCAATATCACGTGCTAATGTACCATTAATTATTCGTGCTATTGTATAAAGTACAGTTGCTGTTGAAATCCATTCTCTTGCATGTATACCACCATCAAGCCATACTGAACGACGATTTTTTCGAAATGGCATAAGACCAATTTTTGCTACAACTAATGAACGATTTTCATGAGTATGCCCAACAATTTCGTATGCAAAAAAACGAGATATATTAGGATGATGAGAAAGTTCTTCAAACCAACGAAGAATTGTTGGATAACGAGGATATTGATCAACAATTTGAGAAAATGATGGAACAGTAAATAACCAGGATGAACGAAATGGAATAGATGGACGAGACATAAATGAACTAGATGCTAAATTAAATAAACATTTTCAATCATTATCAATTTTAGAAAATAATTCATTATAATTATTACTTGTTTGAAAAAATGTAGTAGTAGTAGTAGTAGTTGGAGTAGTTGGAGTAGTTGGAGTAGTAGTAGTTGTTGTTGTTGTAGTAGTTATACTAGTTGTCGTTGTTGTTGTTGATGATGATGATGGATAGATAAAACTAGTTGATGTTGTAAAACTTCTTGGTACTGTGGGTGGTGGTAGTCTATTAGTTTGTGAAGGTAATTTAGGAAAACGTTCATGGAATAATTCTGTTGTGGTTGTAGTAAATTTCCACCAAGGATATTGTGTTGTTGATGAACTAGTACTTACTATTTCTGTTGTTGGTTCATAAACATTTACAACAATTCCAAAATGTTGAGGATTTGAATTTGTTAGTGGTGGTGATGGTGGTAGTGATAGTATTCTAGTTCGATTTCGACGTCTAAAATTATAAGATTTTTTTGTTTGAATAGTTGTTGTTGATATTGGATGAAAAAAATAAGTAGTTCGTGTTGTAAATAAATTATTTTTATATTGATTATTATTTATTGGAACAACAGTATCAATCGACGGAGCTGTTGGATGATTGTTATTTGGTAAATGTACTCCAGCATATAGATGCATTGGTGCCATAAAACTTTGTCGATTTGAATGATTCCATGATGGCTTATGAAAATATTGATATTGTGCTATTAATGATGATATTAATGTTAAAATTATAAACGAAAAATAAATCATATTTGTCATGAAATCTATCGATAGGTTCTTTGTGTTTTTTTTTCTTGTTTGCTTCTGTTTCACTTACGAAATAATATCAATTGATTAAAACAAAAAAAAAAAAAAAGGTTTTTCTTTGACATTTGCACATAATTGCCATTTTCAATTTTCTTTCTGATAACGGAGGTATACATATTCTTATATAGATATAAATATATGAGATAAAAATTGTAATAGTAATGAAATGTAATCTGAACAGTTTTATTCTCTTATATTGATTATAGAGTGGCATTTGGTAAAGTATGGTATGATATATACGATAATAGACAAGAACATGCAGTAAGTTTAATGTTACGTAAAAGTCATTTAAAAAGTAAAATTCAACATCGTATACCTGAATTTGAAATAATTGATAATGATGAAACAACAAATATTGGACGAATTTATCCATTTTCAACTGATCTTGAACACTCTGAATATGGAAAAGCTGTAGCTGTAAAGGGTATGTTTAAATAAATTAACTTTTTACATTTCAATATAATTTATTTTATTTTAGTTCCACAAAATATGAAAGCTGAAACAAAGGCAACATTATTAATGGCAACACTCATTATTGTACGTTTTTTTTTCTTTTTTATACATAAAATCTTTTATAATATTTATAATTTTTTTCTCATAGAAAATGCGAATTGTGTAATCAAGATTATCATCGAGAATCTTATTATTATATTTTGTAAATAATTTTAAAAAATATCAATGTACTTGAATACTTCTTTTTAAATAAAAGTTGGTTCAAAAGAAAAGATTTCAACAATTTTTTAATATTTATATTGACCAATTAAATCTAATAAAGGAGAAAAGATCTCTTGTTTGGTTCTTTTTTTGTCACAACGTAGTCTAGTATGGAATATAATTATATGAAGAAAAAAAAAAAAGAAAGATTTTAAATGATGAGAAGTATTTTATTCGATGTTCATTTATGGGGTGTGCTGTTTAGATGAGTTTCAAGTTATGAAAGAATGTAGTACAAGGTGAATTATAAATGCTTCTACTATAAAAAAATTGAAATATATCCGCTTCGATTTGTTCGAATGGGCTGATTTTGTTGTTAATGGTAGAAGCTAATTTAATCCTTTACCTCCCATAACGATTTCAGAAGACTCACTAATAAAACAACTATTGAAACAGAGTATTATCTTCTTCAGTAGATCAATAATATAAATTTTCAAATGTATATTATTCAATAGTAGCAACTTTTCTTGAAATTTATCGTCCATCACATCATCAAGATAAGTATTTCTCGTAGGTAAAAAAAAAACAATTTAAACAGAAGAGGTTTTTTTTTAGTAATTTCATAATCGTCTCTTTTGTAAGTCATGTATCTGAGAGACAGAGTAAGGATACAAAATATTTTTTTTACCAATCGGCAGCTTAAGGAATCCTCTATACACGGTGTATAAAGAGTTTTTTGAAACCACGCATTCTGTATTTTCTGTAATATTTATATAAATGGCAATTCTAGTTGACAATGGGGGAAATGAGTTAAAACTTTTGTTTCATGCGGCTAATGTAAACAAATACTACTGTCAAGTTATATCTGTGGCCTTATTAATGAAATGTGGCATATTGTTAAGTAAGACAAATACTTATAAAGAGTCTCATAGATGATTTACGGTTGTTATCTAAGAGAATAATAAGAAGAAATCAAAACAAACTTTATAAATAATACAATATTGATGTACATAGAGGAAATTTTTAGAACTAGTCAGTTTAAATGTTGAAACTCGTATTCTATTGTAAATCTTTAGATAGCAACTTTCTTGCAAAAACTAGTTTTTCATATTTGAAAATTCAAAATTTTTGTAATCGTTGACTTTTAAACTAACTATATAGTTTTAAATATTTGCTAGATGTACATCAATATAGTATCATTTATAAAGTTTGTTTTGATTTCTTCTTATTATTCTCTTGGATGACAACTGTAAACTGTCTATGGAGCGCTTTATACGTATTTTTCTTAATAGATAATAGGTCAAATTTTTTTTAGTGAGACCAAAAGATATAACTTACCAGTAGTCTTTGTTTATGTTATTCATATGAAAAAAAAAACTATCAATAAGTTTCTACGACTACCGAAAAAAAACCAGCTCATTTGAAGGAACCGAATTGGAGATATTTCAATTTTTTATTGTAGTACTATTTATGGTTCATACTGTAGATAGAAGGATAAGAATTATTTTATCATGCTGTTACAGTCACTTTTTTTTCTTCTAACAATATTTTGGTGCCAATGATATTATTTTATCATCCTTTTTGGGGACACATTTATGTCATTGATAGATGAGACGAATTATAGTATATATTACTTTATCTATTGGATCCATCATCACTATATTATTTTTGGTCAAAACTTTAAGATAATAACTATAACCATTTCGGAAAGAGTTTATTTTGTTTTTTTTTAATCCTTTTTCTTCATATAAACATATTCATTAGATTCCCATATGTGATTTTTCACTGCTATTAAATCTATTCAAGTCTATGATATGAAAACAGCTGTGTGTATATGTATATATCTAGGTTTTATATGAATGCCTAATGTCTTAGATAAATTCCAACATAATTAGTAGTAAACAGTTAGATGAATTTGTTCGTTAAATTGGACGTTATCTTTACAAATTACTTTATCTCAAAGCAAGACATTCAAGATAACAACGATTATAAATAGTAACCATCTAGTAATTTCCATCGTTGATCAAAAATATGCATATAATAAAACTTTTACTGACACTTATATCTTTTTCTTTTCCTATTGCATATAACACATCATTGAGTATACTCATATGGTCTTTATCAATCGACAAGTATAACGTAAGAAAGAAAAAACAAAAATAACCTTGTCTACATTTCTAATTATATCAATGATGTCTATGTAGACGTATGTTCTATTGATAGATAGAGATTAAATCGAAGAAAAAAAATGATGACAACTATATTTCAAACATGTGTCAATAACATAGAATTTCAATCTTTTTATCATTCCATCTACTGATAGGCATATTCGTCGTTTGGAACAAAAAAAAAACGAGAAAAGAACATTGACTAATACAGAAATTAGATAGCAATCTAAGACTTATCAATAATAACGAAGGCGAAGGTCGATAACCAAGTGAGACAGACAGAGGAGGATATCAATTGTACAACTTTACTGGCAGTTGCTTGTTTATTATTATTATCATTATAGAGCTATTCTTATAAGGATAAATGATGCATCTCAACGTACAATAGATAGAACTTGATGATATAAGGGAAGGTGTCGAACATCTGAGAGTAATTATTAAACTATTGATCCAATAAAACAATCTATACAGAGACAAATAAAACAAAAGAAGACACTTCATAGGTTTCCTTAAGACAAATGACTTCATCTACAAATGATATTCTTGGTCAAAAATTATTTGATGGTAAAACGAAAACAATCTATTCTATGATTGATCAACCTGGTCTTATTTGTATTTATCGAAAAGATTATTATCAAACATCAGGTAGAACATTAAATATTCCAGGTAGTCGTCGACCAAGTATTGATAGTTCAGTTCGTTTTAATCAACCACTACAAAGTCTTTATAATAATAATAATAATAGTAATAGTAATAATAATTCAGATTCATATATTGAAATTCCTGGTAAAGGTGCATTAATTACATCAATAACAACATGTGTTTATGAAATTTTACGTGAAGCATCGATTCCAACATTTTATGTTGCACCACATCGACAATCGGATATGTTTATTGCAAGAAAATGTACAATGATACCAATATTATGGATTATTCGTCGTTTAGCTAATGAAACATATATTCAACGTAATCCGGGAATTGTCAATGGACATCGATTTGTTCCACCTGTTGTTGAAATTTATCATAAACGTCATCCACTTGTTTATAGACGTTTACCAACAGGAAATATTGATGATAAGCTTAATTCTTCTTGTGAAAGTTTATTAGATGAAGATGATTCTGATTCTGATGAATGTTTATCATCAATATGGTCTTATGAACAACTTCTTAATGCACATTTTGATATTGAAAATTTAAAAATTACACAAACTGAAATTGAATATATGTATGAAACATGTTGTACTATATTCGATATGCTTGAACATATATGGATGGTAAAGAAAAATTGTCAATTAATTGATTTAAAAATTGAATTTGGAATAACAACAACTATAACAAAAGAAATTGTTGTTGCAAATACATTTGATATTGAAACATGGCATATTTTACGACCAATACAAAAAACTACTGTATTAGGAAATGATGTTCTGCAAGAAAATCTTATCTGGATAAATAATGCTTTAAGAGATATACTTAACTTCAATATTAATATTCCTTCATCAACTAAAATCGGTTCAAGACGTCAAAGTTTTCTTCAACAAAAACAAGAACCAATATTAAATGAAGCAAAAACAGATAATGGTGTAAAAACATCAAATTCCATTGTTCCAGAAGATGATCATATTGATATACATAAAGATATGGTATCATTAAATCTGTATTCAGCATCATTTTCACCATCAGCAGCAAGTCGTTGTATTATAGTTTGTTCATCATTTCAAGATATTGAACAAGGACAAAAAATAAAAATAACTCTTCATGAAACTTATAATATTCAATGTGATATTCGTCTTTGTTCAATATATAAATCTACTCAAGCTATATTAAAATTTCTATCGAATTATTCCTATGAACATTGTCGTCCAACAGTTTTTGTTACACTTGGAAATATAAATAATGGTTTAGCTATGTGTTTATCATCAAATTCTCAATATCCTGTTATACATTGTTCATTAATGAGTAATGAACAACAAAATAATTTACTTGATATTAATTCATATTTATCACATGATGCATCTATGTTTACAATTGTATTTACATTATTAAGTGCAGTACAAAATGTTGTACAAATTCTTGCTATGAATGATTGGAGATTATGGACAAAACAACGTGGAAAACGTTTAAAAAATT